CTCTTCCTCCTCCTCCTCCTCCTCTTCCTCTTTCTCCTTCGCCTCCTCTTCCTCCTTTTCTTGTGCTTCTACTCTCCGCCTCTCACTGCAGAGAAAGCTCAGGAAAACATCTCTCCAGCTCGTGGACTTGACCTCAGAGCACGCCTCCCCATTTGTCTGAGTCTCACTGACGGAGACCAAAGCAAGCCTCCAGTCTGCCTTCACCCCTCACTGTTTCCGTCCTGGTTTCCTAATGCTGCTCTAGAAATTTCCTCTCACCTAGTGGCTCAGAGCAAGACACTCTGCCGCCTTATGCCTGAAAAGGCTCTCTCTGCACCGCTGCGTGTACCTGGACCGGCCTCCCACTGAGATCCTCCCCTGCTCAGCCTCCGAAGTAGCTAAGATTCCAGGCATGAACCATTAGCTCCCAGATCTTACTGTTTTGTTGTTTTGGTGGTGGTTGTCGTTTTTTAATATACTGATGTTTTGAATATGAGCAAAACAAGTGTCTACTTTTTTTAAATCTTATCGACTTGTGTGCTGTGGAAATGACCTCTTGGGGTGAAGCCATTTCCTCTTTCCACTCCATGAGCTTCTGTGTGTCCTGGCATCCTAGGGGAGTCTTTCCCTGGCCAGCCGGAGATAGAGGGGAGGAGCCAGAAGGATGGAGAAGAGGAAGAGGAGGAGGAAGAGAAAGAGGTCTTGGGGGGGGCCACACCGGACGTGTTCTCCCCCGAGTCGGCGCAGCCCTTCCCCGCCAGGCATCCGGACAGCGTGGCCAGGCGGAACCGGAATTACAACTGGAAGCAGCTGGGGACCACGGAGTGCTCGGCCACCTGCGGGAAAGGTGAGTCCATGGGGCAGGGGCAGCCCGGGGCATCTGGGGACGCATGGCTGGCTTCCTGGGGGACACTTGGTGTGGTCCCCGAGGTGGCCCCCAGGCTCCACAGAGGGCCTCACAGATTCAGAACGCCATAGTGCTCAGGCCCCTTCTTATCATAAGATGCAGAATCACAGGGGATCCAGGAGAAATGAGGCACCCCCCCCCGGGGGTCCCCTCAGGGAGAGCCGGACCAGAAGGCACTTGGCTCGGCCAGCACTGCCCAACAGAGACTCGCACCCAGGCCATGGTGCCCAGGGCTTTTCCCCAGGAGCAGGTCATACAAGCGTGCAGCTCCCACATGGCCGTGGCTCCCCCAGACACCCCAAGATCAAACTGACTCTCCAGCCCAGGCCTCACGCCTTGAAGCAGGAATCACTGAACACCCCTGGGCGGGAGCTGCTGCTGCTTCTGCATCAGGGTGACTCGGTTTCCCCCAAGAACCATGTGATTCTAACTTCCCCCCACTTTGTGGAGACTAGTTATCTCCTGACACAGCTCTTCCAGAAACTTCCACCCTTATCCCCTGGCTCGGCTCTTCCAGAAGCTTCTAGCTCCTCGGCTAACTGGGAAGCCATGTGCTACAGCACGCTCATTGGTTTGGAGATGATTTCCTTTTTTTTTTCTTTTTTCTTTTTCTTTTCTGTTCTTCGAGACTTGGATCTGGAAGACATTTGGACCCTTGGACATAATTTTTTTGGTCGGTCATAGGGCTTGAACTCAGGGTCTGGGTGCTGTCCCTGAGCTCTTTTTCCTCAAGGCTAGCGCTCTACCACTTAAGCCACACCTCCACGTCCCATTTTCTGGTAGTTCATTGGAGATAAGAGTCTCACAGATTTTCCTGCTTAGGCTGGCTTTGAACCTCGATCCTCAGATCTCAGCCTCCTGAGTAGCTAGGATTACAGGTGTGAGCCACCAGTGCTTACCTGGCGGCTTTTTTGCTTTAATCTAGCTCATGTTTGATCCATTCTCTTGGAGTGTGGATGGGGAGATTTTGTTGATCCAACTTCCCGAAACTTTGCCTGGGAAAAATCAAATGCCTGTGGGATGTGAAACTCTTGTTTAAAAATAACATGCCAATTAAGCCAGATTATCATTTCAATCAAAAACAGTACCGACTGTAAAAATGAATAAGAAGCTAAGATTGTACAGTTCCCATTTTGCTCAGCTCCATATCGCCTTCCTTTCCCTAAGAGAGTTCGTTGGGGTTTTTTTTTTTAACTAACTTCAACAAACATTAAGCACATTTTGCTGAGTTCGAAGTGTCTGGTGAAGCACTGGTGAACCAGCCACTAAAGGATTAGAACCAGCTACTTGAGGTAGATCATCCCTTCCTGCTGGGCCACTGCGGGGCTGACTGTTCCACTCACAGCCCTGCATGCTCTGCGCATGTCCAGATTCCTAGCTGCAACCGTAGGCGAATGCTCCCTCCACCCACGTAGATGGAGAATCCTCACATTACAGTTGAAATGGTGGCAAGTCTGAGTTCCAGCAAATAGATGCCGGGCAGTTCGCAGCAGATGAACAGAGTTTGGAAATCCACATGGGCTCCTCCTAGCAGGCGCTGAACCGGCCTCCGCTATGGGGCAGACTGGGACCTGGGCGAAAGAAGGTCCCCTAAACTTCTTCAGTGTCCACTAGTGTGACCCAAGTACTGCCAGCAGGGGGCAGTAGAGAACAGGAGGAAAACGAGAATTAATCAAATTCCACCACATTGGGCTTTTTAACCGAACATAGATCTCTCATTAAGCCAAGGAGACTCGGCTATGCATATATACAAAAGCCTGATGCAGTTATTGATTTTAGCAAAGTACTAAACCTCTGATAAATATTCATTCCACAAACTTGTTTTAAGTACCCTACTTGCCAAGCAGTAGGGTCCCAGGAATGAGTAGGAATTACCCCTGCCCTGTAGATGCTGTTCTTGGATAACCGAAATACCACGGAGTAAGTGCGCTGATGATAGAGGAAGGTATCAAGTCCATTCCAAAGGGGAAGGCAGCTTCTCCTCTGGCTGTTCCAGAATCTTCTTTCCTCAGCCTGCCACCCAATCATAGCAGACCAGTTTGCCGGGCAGGCACTTTGATTCTAATTTAGCACCTGGACAGGCACACACTGTAACCTACATCCCACGGCCTGTGTGAGCTCATTGCACTCCGTCTGGTGATCGCTTTTGTGCTCTCGAACTCCCGAGGAACTGGCCTTTATGAAGCATGCTCTGCACGTGTCCAAAGCCTGTCCACAAGAGACCGCAGCCATGGGATGGGGGGGGGTGCTTGCTGGTGCACAGGTGGAGGACTGGAGAGGGGCGGCCTCCTGGCTGTGCTGGCATAGCCTAACTTTCCAGGGTCCAGAGCTGGCCCTCGCGGCTGCCCCTGTCCGGCCCTCATGGCAGTCCTTGTCTCTCTAGGCTCACAGTACCCTGTGTTCCGCTGTGTGCACAGAAACACCCACGAAGAGGTTCCTGAGAGCTACTGCGACTCGAGCATGAAGCCGACCCCCGGGGAGGAGCCCTGCAGCCTCTCCCCCTGCCCTGCTTTGTAAGACCCTCATGGCAGCCTTGGGTGGGTTTCTTGGGGGGAGGGAGCGGTCATGGGGCCTGAACTCTGGGCCTGGGCGCTGTCCCTCAGCTCTTCCTCAAGGCAAGCGCTCTACCACTTGAGCCACAGCGCCACTTCCAGGTTTTTCTGCTTATGTGGTGCTGAGGAATTGAACCCAGGGCCTCATGCATGCAAGGCAAGCGCTCTACCACTGAGCCACCTTCCCAGCCCCACGAGCGGGTTTCTCAACCAGTCCAAATGTGGTTTAGAGACATAGGACTATGGCCTGGAGATGTGGCTCAAGTGACAGAGAGCAAATTCTGAGGGGGGGGGGAAGAAGTGGGAAGGGGAGGAGAGGAGAAAAGAGGAGAAGGGAGAGGAGAAATGAGGAAGGGGGGCTGGAGATGTGGCCTAGTGCATGAAGCCCTAGGGTCGACTCCTCAGTACCACATAAAACAGAAAAAGCCGGAAGTGGCGCTGTGGCTCAAGTGGTAGAGCACTAGCCTTGAGCAAAAGAAGCTCAGGGACAGCGTCCAGGCCCTGAGTTCAAGCCCCAGG